TTATATATATATATATATATATATATATATATATATATATATATATATATATATATATATATATATATATATATATATATATATGATTCTCTCTATTTTTTGTTGGCCTTTTTAAGGGTGCTTCTCGCTGAAACTTGTCCTGTTTCACATTAATATCAAAAGAAAAAGATTTAGCTTGAAGAAAATCTGATTTTTTTTTGCTATTACACTTTGTTTTCAATAATTAAGCAAGTTTAGCATTTATTTATTGTTATTCCCATTCTTGGTGGTCAACCATTTAGATTTTCTTATACAGAAATTTACTGTATTACTGTTAAAATCAGCTTAAAGGAGAAACGAAGCACTCAGTCAAGTTTGCCTTATTTTCTACATTGGATTCCGCTTTAATGAAAATATAATAAACAAACTCGATTAACGTAACCATTCAGAAGAAAACGGCATGTTTTACTATAGATTTTAGACCTAGGGCGCCGCCATCTTGGAATGTCGCTGTGTCTGACGTCACGGGGTTGGTTCAGTTCCCTCAGCTGAACAGATACAATAGACGAAGACTGAACAGCCCAATTTAACCCAATGTGGGAAGTTGTGGACGTGCAGCTGGTGCAAATACCAGCATCACATGTGTGTCTAATATAAAAGTATAGTAATTTATTCTATTTTCCCCTTTTAATTACTGATCATATGATGCGCTTTGATTCACTCTCTGTATTACGCTGCCTGACTGCCTGTCTTGGTTTCAACCATGGTAGTAACGGACTGAACAAAAAAAACGGACAGCCTATTATAACCCAATGCGTGAAGTTGTGGACATACATACCAGAGCTGATGCAAATACAAGCATTTGAGTGTCTTAAGTTGTGTATTTTTCTTTTGTTAATACGTTTCGTTTGATGCGCTGTGGTCCACTCTCTAACGCTGCTCCAGCTCTGCCTGATGAGGGGATTTACATTCAGATAATGCAATGATTAAAATGTTACATGACTTCACGCTTTACTAAGTCAAGACATTAAGTCAAGACATATTCCCTCTTCAAGTCGATCAACTCGATCTCTCAACATGTATGAAAGATAAAAACCTGCCATAAGAAACACTGTGCCCATCTTGGTTTGGTTTGAACACGAAAAGAGGTGAGGGGCTGCAGTAATGAAAAGTGATGGTACCCGCCCCCATCACGTCAGTAATGATTCACGCTGACTGTCTGTATGGGTTTCAACCATGGTTTCAACAAGGTCCGCTACTGACAAAATGGGGGCAGGTACTTTCACTTTTCACTACTACAGCCTCTCACCTCTTTTCCTGTTCAAACCAGATCTGCGCTGTGTTTCTTATTGCAGGTTTTTAATCCTTCATATGGAAAGGAACCAACCCCGTGACGTCAGACACAGCAACATTCAAAGATGGTGGCTCCCTAGGTCTACAATCTGTAGTAAAACATGCCTTTTTCTGCTAAATGGTCACATTTATCGAGTTTAATATATTTTTATTAAAGTGGAATCCAATGTACAAAATAAGGTAAACATGACTTAGTGCTTCATTTCCCCTTTAAAGAACACAATGCAATGAAGGTAGTTTTAATTAAACAGTAATGGATTTTATTTTGCATTGCCCAAATGCAAATCAACAACAAAATATTATTTTCCTAAATTTGCATAATCATTTCGGTTGATTCGAAACATGACAAGCTTCAGTGTCGTTCGCTCTTTAACTTTGTGCTTTTCTCACTGGCAGGACAATGACGCTGTCAGAGTTGATGCACGGATGCTTGTATATTCTTCTTTTAGATGTCAGAAGATGATCAGCGATCAGGCAGCTATGTTTAACAGCCTTCATCATGACATGCATTAGCGCTTCTCGAAGCATTAGTTATTTCGTGTTTTTTTTTTTTTTTTCTGAGGTCACGTTTGATTTCTTCATGACAAAATATATACTATATGTACCAACAAAAAGGTCAGTAAACAAGCAGAAGAATACATATTTATAATCTATTTTACACCCGGTCATCCGTCTGCAATGAAACCCAGTCCTTTTGTTTCCTAAAATATTGTACAGAAGACAATAGCAGATCTAAGAAAAAAAAATGTTAAGGATTTTGCATCTTCTTTTCTGTACAGTACAAGCCTGTGTGAACCTTTAGTCCTAATGTGGCATTCTGGGTCACATCAACTGTAGCATTGATATCTAGCAGAAGTGGAAAAAATGAACGTCAATTTCTTATTAGTTATGATATGAAAGCATTAGTTGTGATGTTTTATGGACCGATCTCCTAAATATGCCGAACGCCGCTCGTTTTTGTTTTCTCCAGTGAGTCTACCTCCTTGTTTCAAGTGTTTTACAATTGAGAACGAAAACATTTTGAAGCAAATGAGTGGCTTTAGAAACCACATTGGCGTCCGTTTTATTAGAATCTATTGCCTTGATTTCACCGTTTCGTGTATGTGAAAAGTGCTTTAAAAGATGACTTTTTTTATCGTAATCATTGAAATTTGTTTACATAATATTGAGTTTAAATAATGTCACTGGGCAGCGTTTTGAATGTACATTTTAAAAAAGGAAAATAGATCGAATTTGGACTTTAATTGTTGCAATTATTAACACTACAATTGTTTTCGTTCTTTAGTTTGTTTGTTTTTGCCATGCTTATATGCATGTAGAAATTCATATACTGTCATTAAACCCAATTACTTCCATCTGTATGTAATCATAGGTTTGCTTTGTTGATTTTTATCCACTGGACTAGGCAGCCAAACATAGGAAATGGCTTTTATATTGAGTTTAAAAGCATTCCAGTGGTTATGTAACCCAGTTTGCCATTTAAAAAAAAAATCCAACTCTTGGTTTGAGCATTGGGCACTTGTTGGATTTCCTAATCCCAGAGTGGATCACCAGCAAAACTGTAGATGTTGTACAGAACATGGATATGAAGTTTGTTGTTTTCCTACACGGCTGTCGCGAGTTTATTCTAAAGAAGAAGAAAAACCTAAAACAAAAGATGTCTTTTTCAGCGTTTTATTTTTTAATTTAACTCTTGGGTTCTGAATAACTGTTTAAAATGATAGGATTTATGAAAATAGTTGTTTTAAACTAAACCAAAGTGTTATTAAAAAGAGGAGGAATTTATCTTGTATCTTTAAGTAGAATCGTGTACGATTGCATTAGACATGCATAAAGTGTAACCAGCAAAAACATCCATTTATCCATAACTTTATTTTTATAATTCTCTCTCGTTTCGTTTTTGTTTGTTCCTTGTTTTCTTACGAAACTGTTTGGGGTTTTTTATTTTGCATGATATTTTTCATTACAAAACTATGATAAATTGTACAGATCTGTATTGTTGAATTAGTTGTAAGCTTTGCCACACTAGGCTTTTAACCGATTTGCATTTATCAGTCATGTTGATTGATTTATATTGCGTTTGTGTCCTCTAAAATGCCATGAATGTCTCTCCCTCCCTCCTGTGATCTTATTCTGATAAAGACAAAGATTCAGTGAATGTAAATATGTCCGTGCTTATATGATTTGTTTCTTCTACCTGTATATTATCAGTGTTGTGGCATTTCCCATCACCTGAAGTGGTATAAAGATTTTCCTCTGAATCAGAAAAGCTCTCAGTAAAATATTGAAATCATGAATCCTCTGGCATTTTATTGTACTGCATATATTCTGCTGAAATATGCAGCAATACAAGCTTGATACTGTTTACAGTTATGATAACCTTGTTTACTGTAACCTGGAATACTGTGCAATGAACATATCCAGTGAGCGGCAGTTCTGTGGTAGCAAATGCCTTGTTGATGTCAGAGGAGAATGGCCAGACTGGTTCCAGCTGATAGAAAGGCAACAGTAACTCAAATAATCACTCGTTACAACCGAGGTCTGCAGAAGAGCATCTCTGAACACACAACACATCCAACCTTGAAGCAGATGCGCTACAGCAGCAGCAGAAGACCACACCAGGTGCCACTACTGTCAGCTAAGAACAGGAAACTGAGGCTACAATTCACACAGGCTCAGCGAAATTGGACAATAGAAGATTGGAGAAACGTTGCCTGCTCTGATGAGTCTCCATTTCTGCTGCATCTTTCGGAGGGAAGGGTCCGAACTTGGCATCAACAACATGAAAGCATGGATCTATTCTGCCTTGTATCAACGGTTTAGGCTGCTGCTGGTGGTGTAATGGTGTGGTGGATGTTTTCTTGGCACACTTTGGGCTCATTAGTACCAATTTAGCATCGGATCAACACCACAGCCTACCTGAGTATTGTTAATGACCATGTCCATCCCTTAATGAGCACAGTGTGCCCATTTTCTTCTGATGGCTACTTCCAGCAGGTTAACGTGCCATGTTATAAAAGCGTGAATCATCTCAGACTGGTTTCTTGAGCATGACAATGAGTTCACTGTACTCAAATGGCCTCCGCAGTCAGCAGATGTCAATCCAATTGAGCACCTTTGAGATGTGGTGGAGCGGAAGATTTGCATTATGGACGTGCAGCCGACAAATCTGCAGCAACTATGTGATGCTATCATATCCATACGGAGCAAAATCTCTGAGGAATATTTCCAGTACCTTGTTGAATATGTGCCATGAAGGATTAAGGCAGTTCTGAGCGCAAAAGGGGGTCCAACATAGTGCTAGGATATGTACCTAATAAAGTGGCCGGTGAGTATTATTTATTGTATCTTATATTTACGCTGTATAGTATATTGTTAATATTGTATTTAAATAGTTCTTATTTTCTGTTGGAACTAAGATGAAACGAATTCAGAAAAAAAGAGGATGACGCTGTATTTTAAAGAAACTTCACTTATTTTATTCATATTTACCTTTAGTTTAGCGTCAATGAACAGCGTCCGCGCCACAACAAAGATGGCCGCCTGATCAGTGTGGCGACCAAGAAGCTTGTCCACACCTACATTACGAGTGCGCATGCGTACTCTCCGCCTCAGTCTTTTATTTTGAAATCCACGACAGAAAGTGCAATACATTTTTGTTTACGTCACTGCATTATTGAGCTTCAGGAAGCGATTGACAACCCACCAAACGATCAAAATTTGTTAAAAAGTGGCATTTCTGGATGTTTGTTGGTGTGTGAGTGCGTGCCGTTAGTGTAGTGATTCCCAGGGCATGTTTGTAGTAAGTTTTGAAGGGTCTGAGTGTGTGTATTGAGTTGCTGTCAGCAGTGAAGTGCACACTTGTCGATCAGCATCCAGAAACCCCGGGGCTCGATTATTGATCCGTATTGAACACTTTAACCGGGGCTGAGAGTGAATAATGGGGGCTCACACCAGTGAGGGACGCCGGGATTGGCTCCAGCAGGACTTCGGTGAACAGCAGGTCCAGACGGTGGTGAGTCAAACTCCAGTCATCATATTCATTTACATCACCAAAATACAAATACTATAGCATATCTTATAGTATTTTCGTATAATACTTTAGTATACTGTATCACACTGTACTTTGCAGGATGTTAATAAAAAATAAAGGAAGTTTCATTATTAATTCAATTCAATAGTTGCTTTATTGGCATGCCAAATGTTACAAATGCTTTGCCAAATCAGTTATAAAGTTTACATAAACATAAAAGAACATATATATATATATATATATATATATATATATATATATATATATATATATATATATATGTCTATATATATATATATATATATATATATATATATGTGTGTGTGTGTGTGTGTATGTATATATGTATATATATATATATATATATATATATATATATATATATATATATATATATATATATATATATATATATATATATATATATATATATATATATATATATATATATATATATATATA